CATACACTAGACAAAATTATGCAGAGACGACAGGTATGAATTAGGACTGTTTGGATGGCATGAGATAAAAGGACTTGTGAATTTGCTCTTATCCTTTTCAAAGATGGAAGCATTTAGCCATTTTAGAGGCCTCCCCGCAGACTAAAATCGAAAAAGACCCATATAGACACCATGTTTTCTGCTTCAGAACCTTTTTGTCTGAACTTTGAATTGAAGCTAAACAACACTTCAATAACTGGAGATAAAAACTGCACAGAATTGAAGCAAAACAACACTACAATAACTGGACATAAAAACTGCACATAATTGAAACTAAACAACACTGTAAAAACTGGACATAAAAACTGCACATTTAGCAGTTTCAAACTGTATTCACACAGTATTTTGCTTAGCTGAACATTACAAAAAATAGTAGGTTAGCTGCCAGTGCTAATTACAAAAAATAGTACTTCAAACAGTCTAGCCGCTAGTGCTAATTAAAAAAAAACAATACTTTAAACAGTCTAGCTGCTAGTGCTAACTACAAAAAATAATACTTTAAACAGTCTAGCAGCTAGTGCTAATTACAAAAACAGCAAACTAGCTTTCAATCATCTGCTTGTTGTCCTTGGCCCTTCTTTGCCTTCATTTTGTACTTCTTTTTTCTAACTTCTGATTGAAGTTGGCTTGAAGTAATTGCTGGTTTTCCATTCCAAGTAGCCTTTGTTGATGAATAAGGCAGGTTCGTTGGTGTTGCTGCACCTGTTTCATCTCCAGTAAACTGGATCCTTCTTGTACCAGTTGCAATCATCTGTACCTTTCTCATGGCTAGTCTTGTGTCAGTCTCAGATATAATCATTGGCCTTATTGTTGGCTCTTCAACATCTCCAACATCAGGTCCATAACTGTTGAACTCTTGTGTTCCAACTTGAATGTTAAATACTGACTGTTGTGAGTGTTGTGTTCCCACTTCAGTTTCAAATAATGCTTCACCAAACTCTTTTGTTTCATCTTCTCAAGATGTCAATATGGGGGTATTGCCCACAGCTTTCCCCTTTTTTGAACTAAGTCCAGCCCCACTACCCTGCCAACCAAAGACAATAGTTAATAAATAATCTACAAAAATTGTAATTATTTCATGTCACGACCCGGATTTTCCCACCCTCGGGGGTTGTGATGGCGCCTACTCGTGGAAGCTAGGCAAGCCACAAAACATAAACTCCTACCTATTTCATTTTAGATCCTTTTATCTATCATAACGACAAGCGTTAAATATTTAAATAACAGCGAAATATGAAATTAAAGCGGAACACTTAAATAAAATATAAAACCAAACTATCCTGAAGACCAACACATGCCTCTAACCAGAACCTGGTGTCACATCATCCACGGACTACTAAGAGTACTAAATACAGTCGTTTGAAAGGAATATAACACTGTTTGTCTCGAAACATGAGATAACAGAATGTAATATAAGATAGAGGAGACGCCGGGCCTGCGGACGCGTGCAAGGCTACCTCGGAGTCTCGGTGGACTGAAGTCTGGCTCCCGAGCTACTGCTGCTGTCCGTGACCTGGATCTGTGCAAAAAAGCACAGAATGTAGTATCAGCACAACCGACCCCATGTGTTGGTAAGTGCCTAGCCTAACCTCGGCGAAGTAGTGACGAGGCTAGGCGAGACTACCACATCAACCTGTACAGTTATATATGTATATATCTACAACGGGAAAATAACAAGATCAAACATTTTAAATGGGAGGGGAACATGCTTCGGGGATACCAGATGATACAAAATTTCAAGAAAATAATAAAGAACATCAATAATTTAACTCTAACACGGATAAGGGAAATAAAAACAGATTTCACTATCAGCACATATCTCGTTGCAGGCGTGCAACCCGATCCCATTTTTCAATAATTAAATCTCGTGGTAGGAGTACCACCCGCTCCCATTTCATTAAATCTCGTGGTAGGCGTACCACCCGCTCCCATTT